CCAGGCCCGGGGGCCCCCTCGCGCTCCCCGCGCCCCGCTCCGGGCCCACGCTCCCCGCCGCTCGCACCGTCTCCTCGGGGTCGATGTCGATCTTGAAGGTCTGCTGCTGGAGGGTCTTCAGGGTGACCCGCATGGTGCCGCCGCGCAGCTCGGCTGCCGGGCCTGCTCCGGGTGCTGGCCGCTGGGCGGGGTCTGTGGCCTGGCGGGGCCCCGGGGTCGCCCGCGCGCCTCGCGCACTCAGGAGGAAGGCGGTGGGGGTGGGGGCTTGTCACATTCGCCTTGTGGAGCGGCCTCTCCCCCAGGCCTGGCCCCGGGCCACGCCGCTGCCTCCGCGACTGCGGCCTTCCCCGCGAGGTCGGGCCGCTGTGCTTCCTCACGCGCCCGGCACCAGCCCCGGAGTCTGCAGGAGGCGCGAGGGGCTCTGCGAGACCAGCAGAGAATCCGCTAGCTCACCACAGACTGGTGGCCGCCATCATCGTGACTCGCCGAGACGCGCCCCCTCCCCCACCCGAAGAACCTGGGGATGGTGCCGGGCTAGCGAAGAGCGCAGGCGTAGGGTGCGGCGAGGCTGTGCGCAGGCGCGGCGGGGAACTCCGCCCCGGAATTGGGGCGGGGCGGATTACGGCTCTGGAATGTCGGCGGCCTGGATCGGGCGTGCGCAGGCGCAGTCAGTGGGCGTTTCGGGGGCTCGCGGGGTTTCCTCGTCGCGTCTGCCAGCCGGGGCGTTCTCCCGCCCGCAGCTGCTCCGCCTACGTGCAGGCTCCGCCCGGCTGCCCGAGTTGCGCAATCCGTAGCCGGGGAAGCTCTACGTGCAGACCGGACTAAGTGGCTGCCCAGCCCTGGAGCTGGGGAACTAGAGGGCGGTAGGTCAGGGCGGTAGGTCGGGGTGGGGTTTCAGCGAAAGGGTCGTGGAAATGACAGTGATAGGCCGGCGCTCACTGGGCATTTGCTGTGTGGCTGAGCCTTTGTGGTGGCGGCTGATTCTTTAGTCCTGAGAGCACAGACTCCAGCGTCAGACTGCATGGGTGGAGCTTGGGCCTAAATAGAACCACCCATGTAGGGGGTCAAGTTATATCACTTCTCTGGGCAGAAGTGTCCAATGGTTCCTCATCTCACCCAGAGTAAAAGTCGAAGTTATTGGAACTGGACACATAGCCCCTGCCTCTCAGCACATCTTAGGAATCTCCCGGCGTGCTCTTGGTGTTGTTGATGGGTACCAGGCATGCTCCCGCCTGAGGGCCTGCCTCTGGGCTTGCTGTTCCAACTCCGAGTCCTCTTTCCCCAGATACCTAGGTAGCTCGCTGTCTCACTTCCTTCAAACCTTTGCTCAAATGTCACCTTCTCAGTGAGGTCCACCCTGGATACCCGACTTAAAACCGCAACTTCTCTAGCTCCCTTATCCTGCTCTGTTTTTTTCTATAGCATTTATCATCTTCTAATTACCATATAATGTACATATTTATTTTATAGTTTATCATCTTTATCCCCAGACTGAAGCTGCACAGAGGCAAGATTTTTGTTGTGTTAACCGATATACCCTCAACACGTCTGGCACATAGCAGGCACATAATAAATGTTTGTGAAATGGGTGAAGATGCTTCCGGTGCCTCATCAGTAAGATGGGGATAATAATAGCACTCAATTCCATTGATTATTGGAGGGCAGTGTTGAATAATTTATGTAAAATCTTAGTACAAGGAACATAGTAAGCAGACCATAAGTAGTTAGCTATTTGTACTATGCCCATTTACAGATCAGAAAACTGAAGTAGAGAGATGTTGAGTAAGGTGCCTGGAGTCACCCACCTAGTAAATGGCAGATCTGGAGTTTGAACCTAAGCAGAATGACTCCAGAGCCTGTGCCCCTAGGTGCCCAGCTATTCTGCCTCTTAATAGGGTACGCTGTGGCGCATTTGACTTAAAGTGGTTCAAATATAAAAGAAAGTTACAGTTAGACCACTAGCTATGTGACCAATTGCAAAGTACCTCTCTGGGCCAGTGTCCTCACTGATAGAATGTCACTGCTTGGTTTTCCATGGATTCTAGGAGATCAGATATAATTCTTCCATGGAACTTGCCCTGACCAACCTCTCTCTCCACTCACCTGGTATTTCATCTTTCACAGCACATATCTCCCTGTATTGTAATTCAATATCTAACCCTCTGCCCTCTGTCTTCCTGTATATCTACTGTTAGTCACCATGTGATCTTGTCTTGTCCCTTGTTTTGAAATACCTCCAGCCTGGACTTCTCTCCTTAGCCATAGATGGAGTTAGCCAACTGCCTATACAATATCTTCACTTCAAATATAACCAGCCTCTGAAACTTAACATGGGCAAACAGAACCATTGATTTCTTTTTGGACCTCCCTTCCCCCTGAAACCTGCTCTCAGTTTTCCTCCATCTTAGTTCATTGCACCACCACCCACCCAGGTACTCAGACCAAAAATTTAATCATCCCTGATAAATCTCTTGCCTCCTTTCCTCCCCACCAACTACCAGATCTAATGCATTAGCAAGTCCTGTCAACTTTATTCTCCAAATTATATCCCAAATTCAGCCATTTCTCCCCATTTCTACTTCTACAACCCTAGGCTAATCCATCATTATCCTTCCCCTGCCTCCCAGCTGGTCTCTCCACTTCCACTCTTTTCCCTCAACAGCCTCCCCAGTAGTCAGAGTGGTCTTTTTCATGAAACCATAAATCAAATCGTGTCACATCTATTCTTAGTGCTTAATTACACTTTAGAATAAAGTTCAGACTCTTTACCGGGCCTCAGAGAGCTCACATGATCTGACTCCTGCCACGTTCTCCAGCCTCATCTCTTTCCTCTCTCTCTGTCTCAGTCACTGTCATCCCTCCGCACCGCCTTTCTTTCATCCCTCCGACAGGCTAAGCTGGTTCTAGCTTCTGGGCCGTTGCAGTTGAGGTGACTTCAGCTTGAAACTCTGTCTTCCCACATCTTTGAATGGCTACCTCTTTTTCATCATTCAGGTTCCAAGTCATGTTTTACTTCCTTAGAGAGGACTTCTCCAACAACTTTAATAATATATAATAAACATATATTAACCCTTTACTCTAGACAAGACACTATTCAAGACACTTTACATGGATAATCTCATTTAAGACCCACAAAACTCCATAAGATAGGTACAACATTACCCTGGTTTAAATTTTTTCATGGATCTACCTGAAATTATTATTTTTTAACTTGTTTATTGTCTCTCTCACATTAACACCCACTCCCGGTCTCTGCTTCTTGGGGAGAGGAACTCACTGTCTTTTTCACGTCTCTTTCCCCACCACCTAGAACAGTGTCTGGAACAAGTAGGTGCTCAATAGTGTGTGTTGACTGACTCCCACTCAGTTGTAAGCCTCATGAGGCCGGGTGTTGTGTCAGCCTTGCTCATCATGGTATCTTCAGAGTCTAGCACAATATGGATTCTTGATATATGTTGGTTGAAAAAATGGTGAAGTCACTTTAGTTATAATTGACTACAGTTGTAAGAAAACGTGAAAATATTTTAGAAACCAGAATATGCTGTACAGAGTTATAATGTTAAAACTTTTCCTGCTGCATCTACTATTGTCTCTTTGCAGAAAAAGAGGAGAGGTAAGAGATGCCTCTCCATATATCAGGGTATATCTTTTAAAAAATAATCTTTTGCTCATGGCGAAAAAAACACACAAAACTGTAGAAAGAGATTGATTGAAAATAAAAATTCCCCTCCCCATTCCTAGAAATAACCATTGTTTTGAGTGTCTTAAAAATTTTCTACGGGGCCAGCCCGGTGGCGCAAGCGGTTAAGTGCATGTGCTCCGCTGCAGCGGCCTGGGGTTCGCCGGTTCAGATCCCGGGAGCACACCCAGGCGTCACTTGGCAAGCCATGCTGTGGCGGCGTCCCATATAAAGTGGAGGAAGATGGGCACGGATGTTAGCCCAGGGCCAGTCTTCCTCAGCAAAAAAAGAGGAGGATTGGCAGATGTTAGCACAGGGCTGATCTTCCTCACACACACAAAAGAAAAATTTCTAGATATATACAAGAATATATTCCCCCAAATAGTTGTGACAATAGTAGATTTGCAATGTCAATTAATTGAAAGATTCACCCAATGATATTCTCTAAAGTACAGTGTTAAAATAGCATGTTGTTTTTGTTTTCAATTTCTAGAAAAACTGTGTGCCAGATATACCCACTCTTGGCGCAGTAGCACAGCCTGGACAGGCTATATACCTCCTTGTAAGATGTAGTTGCCTGAGCCCAGAGTCCCACAGTTCACATGACACGTGATGGGAAACCTCACCACCACCCCCGAAATGCAGAGGCCACCAAGGTGAGGGTGCTTGTGAGCAAGGCCTTGTGGGATAGGCATGGGCTTCCTCAAGAGCTATGGGGCCAAGATAAAAAGATGGGAGGGAGTCATTGATTCCAAACATTTGGTAACAAGCCTGGGAATTTTGCTTGCATTTTTGGAAATCGGTTAAATGATCTCAGGGAAGAGGATGAGCAAGCAGAGATGCAGCGGCTACTGACTTAGAAAATACCAGGGTAAAGATGTGACTTCAAACCGTTCATTCACTCAGCAAATAGTTATTGAGATTCTCTCCATGCCAGGGACTATTCTGGGTGCTGGGGATACAGTAGGGAACAAGAGGGCCCTCATGAGGTTTATATTCAAGTGGGATAATAGATAAACAGATAATAAGCTAAAAATCAAAAAATATAACGTATCAGGTGATGATAAGTGAAAAACAAATGAAGAGAATCAGTAGTGCTCAGAAAAAATAGAGTTGCTACAGAGAATGTGCCAGCTATCTTTCCTTCCCCTCCTCCATGATTCTTTCTCCCAGCTTCTTTACCCAGCAGTTGACCCCAAGAAGGCTAGCCTACATGGACTACCTCAGTTGGCTTCCTGAGGAGTCCCAGCAAGAGATAGGAGTGAGGGAGTAGAGTGAAGTGAGGGGACTTATTTCTCTTTATGGTTGGCAGTGCCGCTGATACAAAGTAGTTGCTTTTGTAGGGTGGCCCCTCTCCAGGGTACTCTCCCAGGTTTTGATAACTGCTCCCCACCTTGCCCCTTCAGGCCTGGAGGGCCCTTATTTCTTGCCCCAGGGTACTGCACTCTCCCTGTAGTTTTCCCGTACTCTCCCCTCCATCATTGTAACAAGTCCCTTTACTGAATCTTTGTGGAATACACCTGTATTAGTTTCATAGGGCTGCCATAACAAAATAGCACAAACTGAGTGGCTTAAAACAATTGAAATTTATTGTCTCACAGTTTTGGAGGCTACAAATCCAAAATTAAGGTATTGGCAGGGCTATGCTCCCTCTGAAACCTGTCAGGGAGCCTCTTCCTAGCTTCTGGAGGTTTGCTGGCAGTCGTTGGCGTTCTTTGGCTTGTAGCTGCACCACCTCCGTCTCTGCCTCCATCATCACATGATGTTCTCCCCTGTACGTCTGTGTCTCTGTGTCTCTTCTCATAAGCACGTCAGTAGAAGAGGAAAAACTCTATTGTTTCTCCTCTAC